TATCAAGTACTTACCTAGAACAAAAGTGACACATAGTAAGAATTCAATAAACACGCTGAGTGAGTGACAATGAAATGTGCTATAGAAGAAATAAAGGGGGTTGTATTCGTTCCCTGTGGCAGCTGTACCAAATGAACAAAATGGACACATAGTAAGTATTCAGTAAACACGCTGAGTGAACGACAATGAAGTGTGCTATAGAAAAAATAAAGGGGGGTTGTATTCGTTTCCTGTGGCAGCTGTACCAAATGAACAAAATCTTGGTGGCGTAAAAGAACAGAAATTTATTGTCTTCACGTTTCTTGAGGTCAAAAGCTTAAAATCAAGGTGTCAGCAGGACCTCATTCACTCCAAAGACTCTAGGAATAAATCTGTTTCCTGCCCTTTCTTGAGTCTAGTAGCTCCTCATGTAGTTTGGCTTGTGGCCACATCATTCCAGTCTCTGCTTCCACTGCCTACCCTAGGGTTTTCCTCTTCTCTCTCACAACCTGCTCTGCCTTTCTTTCTTTTTCTTTTTTTTCCCCCTTTTTTTGTGGGAGAGAGGTTTTTTGCTATAGGGCGTGTGCACTTGCCAGAAAGAAAGAGATGGGAGACAGGAAGTGAGAAATCACCCCCCAGGGGCGGGGGTGGGGGATGGCCATGCCGCAATCCTTTCTCCTCCATTCTCCTCTCGGGATCTTGGGCACGCACACGCATGCGCCCAACATGAGTTTAAGCCACCGGGTCCAGGACTCGAGCCGCGGTCGACTACATGGGAATCCAGCGACATAGCCATTACGCCAACTGCTGGTCCCCCTGCTCTGCCTTTCTTAACAAAAATACATGCAGTTGTAGTTAGCCTAGAGAGCCCAGCCTCAGTGCTTCTTTCAAAATCCCTAACTTAATTACAGCATTTGTTATATAGTGTGCTATTTACTTTTTTGACATATAAGATAATTGCAGATTCTAGAGATTAGGACATATATGTATATTGGGGGGCCACTGTCTGCCTATTAGAAAAGGTTAAGGGGATCCTTTGGTTATAGGAGGAAGACTTGTTCCTGGTAAAATATCTGATATGAGGGACTTCAAAAAGTTCATGGGGAAATGGAATTAAGATGAGTTCATTTGGTACAAAAATATTGAAATCCTTAACTTTTTCATAATATGCATTTTCCACACACTTTTTGAAGACCTCCCCCTTTTAGAATTCTGATGAAAGGAAAGCCAGAAGGCTGATCTCATGTTTTCCCATTTTTTACTGAAATTTTTATATCAAGATCACAGTTTTGATTCAAATTTTAAGAACATAAGCAGATGAATACCAAAGATAATATTAGTATTAATAATTTCCACATACCAGCCTCCCCACGTGTCCACATATTAATACAGTTGTTCATATCCTCTGCTGTCCTCCTTACAAGGAGGCAAACATTACAGATATCTTTCTCTTCCTGTTTCTGTTTCCACCTCTGCCTATGTGGAAGCAGTCAGTGGTTAGTTTGGTATATGACCAGTCTGTGGTTTATGGCTTCATTGTACACATAACTATTCATGTATAATATGTGGAGTTGTGTGGAACGTCGTAGTACACTGTAATTGGCATGCTGCCTCTTGCTTTTTAATCAGTGCAGCCTGGATCTAGTTCATTTCACTGCAGATGTAAGCAGCAAGTTCTCTCTCTCCTGGCTTCAGAATATGGGACTAAGTCCCAGAGAAGACCTCAGATTAGCCTAGCTTGACTTCTGTGCCAGCACCTGTTGGGTCTCAGTCTAGCATTGCTCAAGCCAGAGGGGTGTGTGATACTTTGCAGCTTTCCTAAAGGACTGTTAAAAGAAAAAGTGGGGACAGACGACAAACATACGCACACACACGCATGCATGCATGCACACACAAGTTTCAGTCTTTAAGTTTGGACTTGGGCATATGTCCTCTGGGGAATTTCCCCGACTGATCCTGTGCCCTTGCATTTTGTATTATTATAACAGTTATCTTATAATATCTTAATTGCTCTCCCCTCTTGCTGTGTACTCATGTTTGTCTGCTGTACTCAGAAAATGTAAGGTCTGTCACTCCATTAGCTGTTCAACACATACTTTAGAATGAATTGAATAGAAGGACTTTCTTTTTTTCCCCCAAGAATTATTTTATTTGAATTTGACCAGAGAGGGGCAGAGTAAGAGAGAAAGTGAGAAAGCAAGCTGCCAGGTCTGGGACTTGAACCGCTATCGGCCATGTGGGAGTCCAGCACCGCCAACCACCACGCCACTTTCAATGGCAGTTCTATAAATGGGCTTCTGTTGGCTTCCTTTGAGCAGGAATCCTCTGTGGCCGTGGTGCTTTTACCCCTGCCTTTCGGGTCTTTCACATCTTTTAGTTCATATGGGTAGCTTGGCCTGTTTGGAATTTCCTTTTTCTTATTTAATGGTAAAAATTCAAGGAAAGATGAAATTGCTAAATCGTAATCCCAGACTTCTTCTGTGAGATCTTTTGAGATGAGCCCTGCCCATCCTTTTTCATGCCAGTATCTGTTCATGTGTACCCAGTAGATTTTTTTTCCTAACCTCACATATGCTATCAGCAGAATATATTTTATGCAGGTTTATTTCTGAATACCTTTTTTTAACATCAGGAGAATTGGGACTGAAATGGACAGAAAATGTGAATTGTTGTATTTGGTACTCAGTAATAACTATAGCGGTTTATGTTTATGAAAAGTTCATAGGCACCAGGCATATAAATAAGGGACATCTTTATGCCATTACATAGATGAGCAAAGTGGAACTTGGAGAGGTCAGTGATCAGCTCCCGTTAACTTAGTCCTGGGATGTGAACTGCACACCCTGATCCCAGAGATGCATTCTTAAGGGCATCTACTTCCTTCTGTAATTAGAAAAAAGAAACCTAGAGCTTGGTCAAGAAAAGGACACCAGGTTGATCACAATTGGAACATGAAGTGTTTTGTATAAAGCTTTGGTAAAGATCAAGAGGGTGAGTCAATTTTAGAACGAAATTCTCTTGGCCGCTGTGAGGAGAGAGAGCCAAGATGTGTAGAAGTGGGACTGAAGTCATGTACTTTGGCATGACTGGCACTATATTGCCTGAAAAATTGGGGAGATGAGAAATACGGGTTAGCTATGAGGAAATGCTCAACATCCCTCATCATAAGGGAGATGCAGATAAAAACCACAATGAGATACTACCTAACCAATGTCAGAATGGCAAAGATTAAGAATATAAAAAGTGATAAGTGTTGGCAGAGATGTGGTGAAAAGGGAACCCTCCTACACTGTTGGTGGGAATGTAAACTGGTTCAACCACTGTGGAGAACAATATGGAGGTTCCTCAAAGATCTACAAATAGAACTACCATTTGATCCAGCAATCCCACTTCTGGGTATTTACCCAAAGGACAGAAGAACACTCAGTCAGAAAAATGCTTGCACATCCATGTTTATTGCAGCATTATTCATGATTGCCAAGACATGGAACCAACCTGAATGTCCACAAAATGATGAATGGACTGGAAAAGTATGGCACATATACTCTATGAAATACTACTCAACCCTAAAAAATAACATGACCCTGGCATTTGATAGAAAGTGGTCAGATATGGAGGATCTATTGCTGAGTGAAATAAGCCAGGCTATGAAAGAAAGATATTGTATGTATCCACTCAATATATACCGACTATCCACACTCTATGATA